TGGGTTTGCGCAGCTCAGAACAAGGGCATAGCAGCTCATCGGGAACTGCTGAGGGCCCCTGGGCATCCCAGGAATGCAAAGGAGCACTTGTGACAACAGCATCAGCAGTGGCAATATCCTGAATTGTAGCATGTAACATCAGCAAATGGCATCAAAGAAAAAACTCCTGGCTCCAAAATTAAGTGAAGAGTATATTGCTGGATAGTGAGTCAATCGACAGAAGACAATCAAAGATACGTGTCAAGAAATGCATATTAAAAAGTTAGCTGCATCGAGGTTTCTTGGAAAAGCTCATGAAGGGGAGGACCATAATTATAATAGACTTGGTGAAGAAAGATTAAAAAGAGAGAACTGACAGTTAAATTACAACTGCATAGAAAAAGTCTGGTTTATGGAGGTACATTGAAACAGCTTGAGATAGGAGAAAAATATTTACCTGAACTGCAGGTTGTGTTCCTGTGCTGCAAAAGGCCATAGTCATGAAGTAGTCGTGCCTACTTGGCATGAGATTGGTTTGAAGTACATCATAGCACATATATATCTGAAATACAGTTGCTGTATTTGAATTTTGTTGTCATACTTTTACTGTGTCATGTGGTGTTTTTACAGTGTAACATAGTATTGCTGAAAGTCATGAGGGTTCATTTACAGTATTCATAGTCCTGAGGTTAGATGAGCTTCATGTGTTTATAGGATCAAACTGCCGTACTTGGTTGCCTAAAGTTTCTTCTCTCTGGACCAGTCCGAAAGAGGGTAAAACATCAGTGGTCTTCCAGTGGGCATTAGGTCACCTGAGCATCTTGTCAAATAAGTAGATTAGTAGATCAGCAAAAAGTCTGGGTACACTCTATACGATCTTCCAGTGTCCTCACTGATTTTGGCTGGGACTATAGTTGGACAGCTTGAAAATCACTGCATATGTACTGGGAAGTAAAAGTAGGTTTGGGGAATGTTAGCTGTTTGCTTTTGCAGTAGACAAAAAGTGACGATGATACTCCTCACCTAGTAGTGAAGTTGATTGATTCAGAGCTGGGCAGATCCAGATGGAAAAGAATAAGCTTACTTAACAGTAAGTGGGCAGGATGTGGAAAATTATGAGTCCTGCATAGCAGTAGCTTGGCTGTCTTCCACGTCAGTAGTATTTTGCATTGCTGTGTATGCTGTTAACACCTTGGTATATATGAATAGTGTGGTCATGCTATAGCTGCTTGGGGAACTATAATTTTGAACTGTGTAAAATTTATTTGCGCGATTTCCATGGAGAAGGTTTTTGGTTGTTGGTTTGGGTTTTTTTTTTCTGATGAAGTATGGTTAATTAGAGTTGAAAGGTAGAACCATAAAAGAGGTATGCTTATGTCATTCAGCTATGCAGTTAGCTTACCTTCCTTTCAGTTACATGGTACTTGAATGGGATGTGAAAGTAATACAGAAGATATCTCAGCAGGGGAATTTCAACATATTCGTATTGCAGCCTCCAAAGATATTCTACAAACCTGGCAGCTTCTCTACTGCCACTCTCATTGCTGCTGACACTTGTTGAAGGGTGGCTGTGCTGTGCATTTCACATCAGGGACAGAAACGTTTTAGTAGACCTGACATGCAAATTATGATCACAGCTTTTGGAGCTCAGCTTGCACCTACAGTTAAACAGCATAAATCAAAATGGAAAATACTATAATGGAAAATACTTACTTTTATTAGAACTCAACTCAAAAAACTGTTAATTACCTAAGGATTAGTGGATCTTTAATAGCTTTTATAATCTGTTCAATTTTGTTCAGAAGGCTGTCTAATGTTGAACCACACTTATTGCCATAGAGACCTTCAAGCAATCTGTGAAGACATCTTCTTGTCTACTCTTATCCCTATTTGAAACCTTAGTGTAACATATACTTCTTCTAGCCCTTTTTAAACCTTTTCTACCACAAAGGGAGGATGAGAGGTTTTTAAAGTGTTATTTATTCTTGCTGTCAAGTATTCTAAAATTAAAATAACACAGGCCAAAAAGCATAAAAACTGTTGAGGAAAATTTGGCATCAGTCGATTTTACTGTTTATCATAGGTGTCTTTCATCATTTCTGATGAGACTGAATGTAGAACAGAAGCCATGTTAAAATAGTAAAAGAATAGTAAGTAGAAGAAAGAAAGTCCTTCATACTCCTGAGATACATGGGGTATCTTTTACAGAGTTAATGACATCTGGAAAGGAAGTCATGGGCCTATATGGCTTGGAACTAGTCTAATAAGTCAGGAGAGCTATGAAATGGAAGAAATTTTGCACTCTTTTTTAATCAGAAGATCAGCTGTAGACAATGACAGGCAGCAGGGCTGCAAAATGAACCTGAGTGATCTCTGAACAGGTGGAAAATGGAACAAGAAAAGTCCGATCCTTTCAAAACTATCAACAGCCTTTGCATTGTAGTATTGTTCCCACCTCCAATGTGTTCTCCTTTCTAGCTTAGAGCAGTCCTATACTTTAGGCAACAAATAGTCTGCATAGTATCGCGGCAACTTCTAAGCGACTGAGCAAGGTGACCTGCAAAAAAACTCTCTGCCCTTCATGGCATCCTGCGTCCCCTTTCAAGAACTGGTGCTTGAACATGTTCCTGGAGTAATACAAAAAGTGCGTCCAACGCATGATATAGCTGGGGAGTGTCGGTGTGGTCTCACATGCAGACAGTAAATCTTATTCTTTCAGAAGGAGATTTGAAATGGTGTAAATTGCCAGCAGTTTCACCTTCCTTAAAAACATACGATAAAATACTGGGGGTTGTAAATGAGGAACGGAGGCAAGGCAAAGATTACCTTATGATGATTTAGTAGTGTATTATTACATATATAATGTCAGGGCTTTTGGCCAAGAGTTAAGGTGAGAGGCTGTGGCAATACCTTACCAAACTGCCACGTGAAATGTGACAGAGCTTATCTTCCAAATCTGCAGTGTCTTCAGGAGAGTTTGAGGCTGGCGGTGTGGATGGGTTTGAGATTAAGCAAATTAGCTGCTAAAATGGATTTTGAAGGTTGCTGTGTTACATTTAGAGGTTTTTGCCATGAACAAAGGAAGTGACAAATAGCTTTCCTTGAAATGAATGCCAGCCACAAGCTGTAAATCAGCCAGCTGGGAGGTAAAGCAACTAGAGACGCTCATTTCTCTATTGAGAGAATGAATGTGACATCAAGAAAGCCCATGTTTGATCACCCACAGGCCACTTGGACTCTAACACTGGCACATAAAGGAATTGTCAAGCTTTGTGGTTTCTAGATTTGGGGTTTTTTTTCAGTTCTGAAAAATTAAACCCCCTGCTGGCAAAGCCTGTACTAGTGTGCACTCTATCCATCAGCCCTTGTTATTCTAGCAAAAGCCTGACTTTCACCTTTTGTTTCATGCTTTCTCTTTAGGTCAAAATAACTGCAGCTGCCTTTTAGTCTTTGGCTGTCAGACTGAGACGAGCTGTTCTGCACCTTCTGTAGCACTGCAAGCTCTCTCCGTAAACTCATGGTGCATTTTCTTAATGAAGCATGGGCTGCAGTTGTCTAAAAGTCCAGTTTTAAATGTCAGAGTGGTGTAAACTTTTGTTTTATCAGTAAATAATTCTGAAATTCTCCTTAGTGTTGGCAACTGGTTTAAAAGTGAAGGAATGTCTTGCACGTAATTACATTGCCAGGGGCTTGGTTAGTTCAGCTTAGCCAATGAGCTATGTAATACTTTTTATCTATGGAGTAGTTATTTACTTAACAGGCTACATAATTCTGTCTTTTAACATTTTTAATGTTCAGCTAAAGCTGTGAGAGTTAGAGTAGCACTTTATTTACCAGCATTTTAAATTATTTAGGTACAGTGAAGGGGAAGATAAGCTAAATGTTATTTCATCTGGGAGAATAATTGTAGAGATGGGTTTTTCACTCCAGATGGCAATAAGAGGCCTCATAACATGATATAATCATCCATTATGCCTTTGCTAGGATGCCAGGAGCTTTTCCATCATAATAAAACTCTGACTAAATGGGAACATCTTTCTCACAGCTGAAAAGATAGTTAATTCTGAGTTATAATGCACCACACCAGGGTACACTCCATTGCAGTTGCTGTGTACAGAAGAGGAATAACTATGCTGCTCAAGCCATGCGTGTCTGCTTCTGCTGATGGGTCTCCATCTGAACTCAACTTCTGAAATGATTACTACTTTGTCGCTGAAGCACACTATGCTCTGGTGGACAAACCTGTAATGTTTCTGTGACACTCTGCTTTTAACTGTTGCTGTTACTCACAGTGATGTCGGCCAAAAGCTTTAGGCTGCCTACCTAGACTCATGGGAGGCAGAGCTGGTTGGCAGCTGTCTTCTTTTATATTACGTTTAGGAAGCAACATTTCATTCATTTCATATCACTTACTGAAAAAAGCTGTTAAGGACAGGAAAGTGTTCTCCTGGCAGTTCCAGAGAACACATTTCTGTAGAGGGTAAATAGTTTCCTCCGTTGCTCATTAGCTAGTGGAGAGATGCTCAGGTGAACAAGGACCAGAAATGGAAGTGGTAATCATTAAACAAGCAAGTCCAGGAGTTGTGCTCTCCAAAAAAAATCATGGCAGAACATACTTCCCAATCCTGAGAGGTACAAAGTTGTCTGCTCAGGGGGAGGAGGACATACACGGTGCTGTAAGGTGCTCACATGGTCAGCTGCAGAATTTGTGCGTCTGGGCATGGGAACTGTGATCTGCAAATTTCTCCCCTATCTGCAGAGCTATTCAGACACAACACGGAAGTGTGATTTGAATGTTCAGAACAGCAGATAGTGGTTAACTGTTTTTAAAAATAGGTCATAAGTTGCCATTTACCCTCGGGGGAGAGCTTTTGAGACACATTCTTTTGTGGTCCAGCAGTTGAGAAAATAACCCTCCAAACTGGTAATTTGGGATAATTTGGAGATTCCTTTTAGTTAATCGATTCAGTGGGGAAGAAGAGTTTTTCACATGTCAATTGCCATCACTTTTTTTTTTTCAGGTGAACATGTTTGTGGAAGGATTCCATGATGCTGTTCTTCTCTATGCTCTAGCTCTACAGGAAGCCCTGAAGTTTGGTTTCAGTAAGAAAGATGGGGAAAAAATTGTTCAGCAAACACGGAACAGAACATATGAAGGTAAGAGTTAATATGGAATTCCATCTTTCAGAGTCAAAAAATTTGGGGTCTTTCTTGTGTGCAGAGTAAGGACCCATGCTTATTCCACTCTTAGATGAGAGGAAAATAACCACATGAAATCATATACATCTTTAAGGCTGGCTCACATACCTCACTAGTCTGGTTTTTTGCACCAACCCTCGAGGTCTTACTCAGCTCAAAAAACTCCCAACAATTTAATGACCCTTACTGATGTTGTGAAGAACTACCAATAATTTTCTCAGGCTCCTTCTTTGTTTTTGAAAAGATTACAGCTGCTGCTGTACTCATGTGCATCTATTAGCTCTGAGATTGCCTCATTTTTTCCATTTGACTTTTTTATCTTAAAAGCCTGGGAATGGATAGAAGCAAACAGGTGCCAGGGTTTTTTTTATTGTTTTGTTTCTTTACGGGGATCCTTTGGGCCCTGGAAGGATTTCCCCCCAGCCTCCTTTCAGGAGCTGTGTGTGTTATCTCAGAGGCAGCAGCTGAACAGCGCTGTGCCTTTCTCTGCCTAATCCTTTAGAGTGCAGTTATGTCACCCTGCTGACGCAAAGCGATGCAGGTGCTTTTGCCAGGTAGGGATCATAATAAATAAACTGAGGATTATTGGATTAATCTGTCATCTCCTAGAATATTCCCATCCATCCTTTTATAATATTCCCATCTTTTATAACACTCTAGTCTTTTGGTGTAGGATTGGCAAGATTCCCTATGGAAATGCCTAAGAGAAGGAAACATTTCCCCTAGATAAGAAGCAAATGATTAATTTGAATGTGTAAGGAAAACCTCGGTGGCCAGGTTCTCTGCTATAAGACCACCCTGTACATGGCAGAGGAAGGCAAGAAGGACAGCAGCTCCAAACCTCTTTTCTGTTCTCAAATCGTGTCCTGAGTAAAAGGATGACTTAAGGCAACAAAGGGATTGCTTTAAATTCTACTGGTTTCAGTCATCCCTTAGGGAGCCCTGGAACCAGTGGGAGATTGTGCTTGACATCCCACTATCTCCCTTCACATCCATGGCTTCCCAAACACACTGTTTTAACAGAGGGAATCTGGTGTCTAAGGATTTGCCTCACTGTTCAGATGCCTGTGTATGAACAGATTCCCCAGCAGAGCCTGTTTTCCTTACTCCAGCGTCTCAGCTACAGGAAGCCATGAGCTGGTGTGCCCATGCAAGTTTGTGTAGTACCACACACTGCATGCCAGTTACATGGTTGATTCTCACATCATCCTTGTAAAACCAGCCAGCAGACAAAAATGTTCTCTTTTCCCATTTGTGAAGACCAGTATGTTGTTACTGATTGACCTGTCACAGCTATTTGAAAATGCAGCTGTCAAATGGAGCTGTGAGGGTGCAGCTGAAAAGGTCAAAATGCTGTGTAAGTCATAGGCCATCTCCTCCTTGTGGCAGTACTTTGCTGGACATAATTTCCCAGGACAAAGATGGTTTTGAAAGAGGTCTTTCACTTGATGTCTTGCAAGCTAGTCCTTTTCGAATAATCATGTCCCTTTAGTCTGCCTGTACGTCTCTTTCTGAACTGGATGCAACATCTCAGAGTACAGCCTGTGCATATACCCTCCAGGCTCTAGTGCAGGACTGAAGCTTTATAATTCACTTAACCTTTTGCAAGCCTTGATTATGAGAATTCCAATGACATTAATTTAACTGCTGATGCCTAGGTATCTTACTGCCCGGGCCCCTCATTTTACAGCTTGCTCTGAATAGGTGACCCATCAGAACTCACAGCAGGATGTCAATGCATTTTGCTAGCCACAACTGCACAGGCAACATTGTGTGCTTGGGAAAGGATAAGGCTGAGATGACCAAAGGATTTCGTCTTGCCTGTGTTGTTACAGACACCCTGGTTGAATGCAGGGCACATTTTCTAGAGAATGTTTTCTACTTGTTATAATTTCCTCTGAAAAATAGCAAATTATGCTGTATGTAGGTATATAACACAACAGAATAAAGAAAGTCTGGATATAATCCTTCCACCTTCATCCAAATGCATTTCTTCACTAAGGTTGTTTCAGAATTTCTTGAATACATTTCTTAAGGACGAACATTGCAGGAAATGTCAACATTTCAAACTCTTTGTTTTGATTCAGGTGGAAAAGTAAAAAATGTAAAAAAAGTAAAAAAAGACCTCTAGGAATTCGGAGTTTCAACAAATTTTAGTATTTACTTCCAAAAGTTGAGTTTTGATTTTCTTAGGCAGGAAGTTGTCTGTTCCGATTAGCACCTCCTATCAGATCCAGAAATCCAGATTGTTGCACAGGGAAAGAAGTTGCAGCTTTTCATGATGGCCTCTTCAGTGCTTTCACAGCCAAATGGTTGTTATACCCATTCTGTTTTCCTGAAGTAACTAAACTAGCAATTATTTGATTACTGTATTGTTATAATGAAACAGATGCTTGACAGTAATTTTTTGGTGGCTGCTACATGCTTTGAAAATCACAGTGTGTTTAGACATTCCTGACATCACTGAATGGGAACAGAGACAAGATAAGTGGAGATGTGTCAATCTGTTTTATATTTACTATCATTAGGTATGTTGAGAAGAATTTATCTAGCTGAATACCTGACCTCTCTCTTCTGATTTACAGTCACTGAGAACCTGATTTTCTACTGCTTTGTGCTTGGTCTGGTCATATAGTTGATGTAACATGGAATTATAACCATGCCTGTTTGACTTGCACTGGTATAAATGGCTACATTTGGTGTCAGAGAGTGGAGGATCACATCTGAGAACACCAGAGCTGATAAAGCATATCAGCAAAGCCAAGCAATGTGTTCATCATAGTTATTTGGTACTGTTAGATGGATTTTAAGAATCCATTTGACTTACACCACAAGAATTTGGAGCCATGCTCATTGTACACGAGGGCATACATTGAAAGAAGAGGTTCAAACTGAATATGAGGAAGTGTTTATTCACCATGACAATTGGAAGAAGTGGCCTTGGAGAGGTTGTGCAGTTTCTGGTTTTGAAAACCAGATAAAACCCTGAGCATTCTCCTGTTCCGACCTCCTGGCTGACCCTGCTCTGACCAAGCAGATGGACTTGAGACCTCCTGAAGCCCCTTCAGACTTAAATTACCCTATGAGACTTGGATTTCCAGTTTTCCTGAAGTTTCCTAGGGCTTATAAAGGAAGGAAGTCAACTGGGAGTCTAAAAGTATAAAACAAACAGCACCGTGTTATGTAGTTCATCCTATGTAAATGAATGCAGGACTTAATGCATATGTACTGCTCATCGTGCCCCTTGTCCATGCCCCTTCCAGTTTCCCATCAGATGGAAACAACACTGGACTGGCTCTATGGGTGCACCTAACCCAACAGTCTATGGGGTGCAGGGCTGTGTCTCGTGTCCTCTGCAGCACATGAGATGAAATCTCCTTATTGAGGCATCATTAGGTATTTCAGGGTTAGGCTCTCTGCAAGTAATTCACATTAAATATATTTGTGTTTTATTCTTGTGTGCTGGCTTTGAATTAGATTTTTCTCACATATTCCCCAAACAGTCTCACACATTTGATATTTAAAAAGGAGAAATGTTAAGAATTCAGGAATGTGGACACTGAGATGAAATTACAGTTTCTTTTGGAATGCCAACAAAAATGCTGAGAGACTGATGAGATTTCCTGTCATATCAGTCTGTAAAAACCTGACCACTGTTCTCTTGTTTTCCTTGGAAAGGCTCAGTATTTTAACTAATTAATTTTCTAATTCCTCACATGCCATTCTTTAGGCATTGCAGGGCAGGTGTCCATTGATGCTAATGGAGACAGATATGGGGATTTCTCTGTGATTGGAATGACGGATCCAGAGGCAGGCACACAGGAGGTAAGGAAGCAAACACCGTTGTGATTGGCCACTGATTGGTGGGCATCTGCTTATCAACACATTAAAATAGTATTGCTTAATTTTATCAACCTGGAGACAGAGGAAAGCGTGCACAGGAGTTTGACAGCAGCTGTCCAAACTGGGAGTTTGCATCAAGGAATTTAGAGCAACTTTATAGACTGCCAGTCAATATCTATAACTGACCCAATAGAAGAACATAGGATTTGTGTCTGTATGAGGAAGGGCCCTCTCAAGAAACAAGAACTTCTGTATACAAATAAGTATCTTGAAGTAATTAGGCTAAGTTTTTTTTTAAGCTGTCTTAACTTCTCTTTAACAGTATATCTTTCTTCATGTGATACTAGAGTCTTTAAAATGCAAAGGGTGACATCTCACAAGCTGGCTAAGCACTCGTAAATTTCAAATAAGAGAAATTATTGTTTAAAATGAGTAAGGCCTTTTATTCACTGATAAGAAGAAAGATTGATCTTATGGCAGCAGGGGGGCACATGTTACCCTGATGTATAAACAACATGAGTACAGGTATATTAATCTTACCCACTGTCAACCATAGGCAGGAGTGCAGACCTTGCCTCACCTCATTGATCATGCACGAGACCAGAGTGCCTTGTTTTCAGTGCTTAAGAGACATTTTAATCAGTCGGCTCCATATACACCATGTGGATTATTCCAGTAGGCGCAGCAGGACTGGAAGCAGCCAGACTGTGAAAAACAGTCTCTGAGAAATCACACCGGCTGCACACAGAGAGTAGTGTGGTTGGATTGAGTTGATTAATGCCTACACTGCCCTAATTCCAGCTGCAGCATAACGCTTCTGTTAGTTGCAAAGTCAGTATCAGCCTAAGTTTTGCTGGACTTGCCTATTTCACCAAGCTCAAACGTAAAGCAGCAGTAAATCTGAGCTGGATATTTCTACCTGTGGGTTTGAATACAGTGGATTCGCATTGCTCTTGCCAGTGCCGTGGCAGAGACAGACTCAAGAAGCCTTTTTAAAAGCGTGAGGATATCTAGTGTATTTTAGTGTGTAAAAGTGACCGAAAGACAACAGCAGTAAACTGCAGACACTCACAGGGGTGAGAGTAATTGTGATTAAGTAAAGCTAGGAGTACAAATTGGTTGGGATAACTTTGGTTGAACGACTTGTATCTCTTCTGTTTGTTCAGTACATTAGCTTTTTATCTCATTTATCAATTTAACCCCCCTCTCCTATCCTTCCATTGCTTTTTCACTTGCAATTTAAACTGTCTTTTGTTTCTTCGATGTTACCTTTCTCTTATTAGCATATTGCTCGTCTTAATTTCCCTCTGCTTTGTTTATGATGTATATAAGCATACATGCAATTAACACATTTTACATGTGATAACTTACTGTTTGTCTGCTACATTCATTTCTACCCTCGATACCTCACTCTAAAAACATGGTTGCTTTGTTTTATGTCTTCTTTTGTTCATTTTGTGAATTATGTCAGCTGAGAATGTTTCTCGGCTGAACCAAGCCAGATGAATGGGTGTTTAGGCAGAGCTGTTTTCCCAGGTCCATTCACAGGATTTAAAGCTAGAACAAAACCACCACATTACCTTGTGTGACCTCTACTGTATTACAGGCAGGCGGGCAGGTTTCCTACCCTTGTATGGAGCCCTGCAGTTTATGTGTGCCTAAAGCTCATGCTGTAACAAGCATTCATTTTTCATTTGGAGACAGTGAAAAACAGGGGCTGCCTTGCTTGCTCCCTTGGTGTTTGTTCCACTATTTAACCACTCTTGGTCTTTAAAAGTGTATATGCTACTTCTGGTTGCTGCTTATAGCTATTTGGTCTTCTTAAGCCATTTTTCATGCTTTCATATCTAGTAAGCCCTGCTGCTTTATAAATTAAACAATCTCTTAATAAATAGTCTGCCTGCAAATGATCTGGTTTTTTTTTTCTCTCTGCTTTTTCCAGTTTACTAAATTTGCCTTCAGTTGTAAAAAAATATTAAAAATGTCTTTCTTCTAAGGATTTATCTCCCTGTTGCAAAATTAGCTCCTTTATTTAGTGTGAAATCTACCTTTGTGTGTCTAACCAGGGCAAATGTTATTTTTTAACTCTTTCCATTCAAAAGGTGAAAGATTTAAACAGGCTGTCAGTGGCTTAAATTTGAAACCCAGTGTATTAATACATGGGTTTTTTTATCTATAGTAGGACAGATATGTCTTCTGAATGTGCTTCTGCCATTGCTTCTGACTACTTTAGTGTCATGAGATTTGGCCTTTATTACTGTGCATAATCTTTTTTGAACTATTTTCAGATGATTCCACTACTACTGTTAGCTCAGTTTAGTCCTGCAGCTTTGCAGGAGATCCAACGTATGTTACCTTGAATAAAGCCTGAATTTACTGCTGAGACAGGACTGAAGTTCTAAAGTATCTTCAATTGGTCTGAAATAACAGTCCATGCTACCCAAATAATAAACTTGAAAAGCCCTTTCTGTGTAAATATTAATAACTGCAGAAATACAAGGTGGCTAATAACTGACTCTGTCATAGTTCTTCAGAAGATTTGAAAATTTTAACTGAATGTGATCAAGTACTTCCCGATCCGTGCAAAATAGACAAGCCCAGCCTGGAGCGTGTAGTTGGGAGCCTCGGCATATGAAGTACTTGAAAGTACGTTTTTACTTAGCAGAGTGACAGTCCTGAGCACTCAACCCGCTATGGAACAAGTGAAGAAAGCCCAAGGAGAGCAAGAGGAATATTCAGAGGCTTAAAAAACCTCATGCGAACTGAGTTTATATAGAAGAGAATTCGGATAACAGACCAGATTAAGAGCCTATGCACTTCTATAGAATCACAGAATTGTCAGGCTTGGAAGGGACCTTAAAGATCATCTAGTTCCCATGGGCAGGGACATCCCCCACTAGATCAAGCTGCTCAGAGCCCCATCCAGCCTGGCCTTAAAAACTTCCAGGGATGGGGCATCCACCACCTCTCTGGGCAACCTGTGCCAGTGTCTCAGCACCCTCATAGTGAAGTATGAATGGATAATTGCAACAAGAGAGCTTTCGTTTACATGTTAGGAGAAATCACAGACAGTACCTAAGTTCCAGAATAATTGCTTACAGCAATTGTCAGGTCTGCATCTTTGAAGAGTAGGTTATATAAACATCTGTCAGGAATGCTTTTGTTCAGCTGATCATACCCTGGTGCATGCACTACATAACCTCCCATAGTCCCATTCAGCCCTGTTCTCTGTGGTTCAGCATCCTGCCACAGGAGTCCAAGTGTGTGATGCCACTCTCCTGCTTGTTTTAATTCCCTAGGTTGATAGGAAAATCTTTTCATTCCGTTCTTTTTGGCATAGGTGATCGGGGACTACTACGGAAAGCAGGGACGTTTTGAAATTCGATCAAATGTGAAATATCCGTGGAATCATGGCAGGCTGCGACTAGATGAAAGCCGAGCTTCAGAGCACCCAAACAATAAACCGTGTAAATCATGTAAGTTCACTGACTTAATTCTTCTGCCCAAGGCTGTCAGACAGGGGAATCCGTGATGCAATATAACAGGCCATATTAAATTGCTTAGCACAGTTGTACAACTGAGACATCGTGACTGTGTCTCTCTGCAGGCTGTTTGGGAAGTTAATGTCTGGCAGCTGTGGGTAGTACATGATCTGAATCACTTCCCTGAACTTAAACCTGACGGTAATCATGATGCACAGCCTAGAGCCCCTGTAGGCTTTTGGGTTTTCCAGGGCCAAAAGGTGAAATCTCTTTTAGACAGAAGGAAGAATGTAACTGAAGCCCCAAACAGAGAATAATCATACTGATAATTAGCAGCTGGGAAGGCTGGTGCTGATGTGAGCAGTGTTCCCCCACAGAGTGATTTTCAGTGCTATGAGAAGGCACTGCAAGGGGCCCAGTAAGCTGAGAAGAAGTGAAGTCAGTTTACTGGAGCAGCATCTGTGAATCCAGAAGGCTGTGACTACCCTCCATGGAGAAGGTGTCCGTGTTTTCCAGCATGCTGACTTTGTAGACCATGTTGTAGTGAGCAGGACGTTGCAAGGAGATACAGGTAGGAAGATGCTCGTGCCTTACTGGCAAAGGGTGTTCTTAGCTTTTCACAGGGAACGGATTGCTGGTCCTGCCGTGACAAAGTATCTGCAGCCTGATAATTATTCTTTTCCTGAAAAACCTGTGGGTACACATGTTCTGTAGAGACTGTTTCTAGGCCTTGCCCTCTGTGCTTCAGTGTGGCATAGCTATACGTTTTCCTCCTTGCACACATCCTTGTGTATAGACAAGCTCCCCTCAAAGGGTAAAGAATAAATGAAGAGGAGGGAGCAGTTTAATTTCCTTAATATTTCTGTGTTCCTTTCCACAAACCAAGGTAAGCTCAGAAAAGGGAGTAGGCTGCACCCACATGAAAATGCCATTGTTCTTCAGCTGCCTTGCACTTGGCAGAGTAACAGTCCCTACATGGACTTTCCCTCTGTTGTTGTGTCCCTGCCTTGCCTCTGTTGAGTTTTGGAGCAAGGGAAAGCTCGTATGGCTTTCACTTGAAACAGCCTAGATTCAGAAAAAAAATAATTGAGGAGCTGTCAGATAATCATACAGTCATTTTAATAAACCTGGGTGATAGAGGGTTATGATGCTAAACCAGGTGAAACAAATTTCTTTCTGTTACAGTGACTCAGGGCACATTCTATGCTGATTCCTATTATGTGTGTCACTATAATCCCAGTCTGTGTTATGATTCAGACCAAGCTGTCCAGACCAGTTTCCCAACAACATTCCTGTGTGTCATATCTCTAGAATTGTGTCTTAATGTGACACTGATCTTGGGGGCTGTAAGCAAGGACAAAAAAATAAACATGCAGAAACTAAGGAATAGGTTGCCATAGAGTCCTGAGCTCTGAAAGGCATTAGGTATTATCCGATGTTGGTCACTCATTTCATACTTGCATGTATCTTCCAATATGTGAATACAAAAAGTTCTCATATGAACCCTGATTGTTTATTTTTCCCCATTTTAAGCAGGTGGTCTAGGAGAATCAGCAGTTACAGGAATTGTTGTGGGCGCCTTGCTTGGAGCAGGATTGCTAATGGCTTTTTACTTTTTCAGGTTAGTCCAATTCATTCAAAGTTCCGTTAACTCTTTATTCATTATCCCAACCTCTCAGCTCCTGGCAGTACATCCCTCATGTAAACAGAGACGTCCCATAATAATCTATGTAACACTCCCTCCACAGTGAACACACTTTTATTCTCCTTTTGTGTATATCCAAATAATTTTATTCACTCAGGGCTTCATCCTGTAATCATTTACCTTTCTGAGTAACTTTACTCATGGAGATAATTCCAGTGAGTTTCAGTCACCCAGTTGCTTTAATAAAGTACCTTAGCCTTGAAAGCCTTCTTTGTTTGGTAATCCTTGCTAGTACAATTGTGCAGGCTGTGATCGTGCAAGACATACGTATTACTTGCCTGGTACCTTGCTTAGTTTTTTAGTATTGAGTGGAATTGTACTGGAAACTAGGAAGAGATTTCTGTTCTGGTGTAAGAGAATGTTTCAATTTCAGTAGTGCATTTAACTTAATCAGCTGAGGTAAATGCAGGGTGATCAGTGTTTTATTCCTGTTTAAGTAAAACAATTCTTACAGTGCTAATCAGCAAATCTAAGGTCTTGAGAGTTGATCCTGCACTGACAGAATAATCTAGTTACACGTGTTCAGCATCTTAAATACACTGTAATTTATCCTTTTATGCTACAGAAGAGAAAAGGCAAATAGGAGAATAGAATTACCCTCTGCATATGAGAATCAAATCATTCCATCCAATAAAAATAACTGTTTATAAAAAATGTTAACAAAATGAAACAATCAAAAACTGCTTCAGTTTACCAACACAAGTACACCAGGGTTTCAGAAGATTTCAGAACCAGGATTATTCATCCAGTGTTTACAATTGAAATTCTGCAGGGCATTTGCATGCATTTGGTGCTTATAGAATATATTGTTTGGGTTTGAGACAGGCTAAGTTAGTTGAGACTGATTAAAGACTGTTTTTAAAAGAAGAAAATAGAAGTCTGTCTTAATGTTGTATGCCACCAGAGCTCCTTGTCCCTTCTGTACATTGTCAATCTGAGATGATAATTTTTAGATGTATTTTCTAGTATTGCTAATTTGAGAGGGAATTGGTATGTCAGGACATAGCCTGAGCTGGTATAAAACTGTGCAAAGCACCATTGTAGGAACAGGACTTAAATTCTTAGTCATCTGACACTAGGGCTTGCATTGGAAATCCATATGAGCAAGGATGAGTGTCTGTGAAAGTAAGTGTACCCACGTGAGCTCAACACCATATTTATGGTCACAAGGGGGAAAGGAGGACTTTTTTTAGGTCAGTTCGTATCCTTCTCATGTAAAAGCTGAACCAGATCATATTCTCTCCATTGACTGAAGGAAGCCAGGGAGTACTCTGTCAGATCATCTGCCCATTGAAGAAGTCTTAAAGACACCTGGATGGATTTCATCCTAGAGGTCTGATGGCACTCACTCAAAGCAGCAATAGGGAAACCCCTCTAATTCCACTTTTAGAATAAGCATAATAAAAATAACGTATTAAAAATAACATATCAGGATGTATGGGGTGCTTTTTCAGAAAATGTAGGTCTAGCAATTGTGTACTTGGAAGTTGTTTGTACCTACACCTTCTGTATCTTTCATACCTCCTTATTATATCTCATTTGGATCTATAATTGCTACAAATGTAAACACAGTTCTGAGTGTGCATGCAAACAGTTAAAAGATCTGGGTTGTAGTTCTGATATGTAGCTTTGAAAGGATGCAGACTTAAAGAAATACATTTTTAAAATGTGGACCTGTCCTTATGCATGAGCAACTGCTGTGCATGCTCTGACCTGTGGAAGGATCTGACTTGAAAATACGTAAATGAAATTTTCAGGTTATCTGGGAGCCTGCTGATACAGACACAAATGCCTAGGGAAACTTTTCAGAGTTTGCAGGTCCGTATCTTCTGTTGAGCCGTGTTACCCAAATTAAAACATTGGTATTTTAAAAAACATTCTTCCACTGGTACGTATCTAACTCTGTCTCCTGCTACACGTGCAAGGCAGAAGAGCTTTCCTTCTCCTACAAGCTTTTTGTTATGCATCTGCACAAGCAGTACTGTGCGCACATGGGGCTGGGCTAATGACCTTCTGAAAAATTGGTCCTGAAACTTGAGTAGAAACATAAATGCATAAAGTATAAATGTGAATCATCTTAAGGTTTTGGAGGGGAGATATGGTACTAAAGGGGACACTGAAAGGCAGTCAGAGGGCTTGTCTGATGTATAAAGTAACATTTGATGTATAAAGAAATCTTCAAAAGGCCCTAGAGGAAGACACAGAAAAAAACTATCTGATGCATGAGCAATTGTATTTATTTCTTATCTGTCCTGAACATCCTTCTTCTTAATTCATCATACTACCTTCTCTGACACTACAAACATAGTAGCTTTCTCAGAGGGAGATGGGCAGATTAGTTAGTTTCGGTGAAAAATGCAATTGAGTAATGAGTCAGATATGTTGTTTGAACTCTGTGGAAAGTGGCCCCCCACCGTATATACTGTAAAGAAATTTGGCTTTGATCAGTATAAAGCAATGATGTGACACAGTTCACATGACACTTCACAAAAACTTCCTAATCACTTAGATCAGAAATTTTCAAAGAAGCAAATGTCTGTGTCTTGGTGCTTTGAGACTGCCCTGCAGAAATTAACAGGCATTCTTGAGCAGGAGTACAATGTTTCAAGGCAAATGTCTTTAATCTTTGACCAGGGTTTCACATTCTGCCACATTTCATTTTTCAACTGGCACCGAGCTGTCCCCTACAGGCATTCTTTGTAAGGGAAGTCCTGTTACCCTATAGCTAGAGAAGGATTTCTCACTCTGTTCCTCTCCTTTCATGCAGAAAGAAATACAGAATAACTATTGAGAGACGAACTCGACAGGAGGAGTGTAACATGGGGAAGCATCGGCAGTTACGTGAAGACTCCATTAGATCTCATTTTTCTGCCGCATAAAGAAGAAGAAGAGGAAGAAGAAGAAGAATCCCATTGTTCCTAGGGAAAAAAAAAGAATTAGGGAAAAGGACACAACCAAAGACATCAGTGTAACAAGAAGAGGCGCTTGAAGAACTCAATCTTTTAAGCAGTAATTTTGTCTTAATTTCTTTCAGAAGCTCAGGAATGATTTACTATTCATGTTATGCCGCATGGCCTTTCATCTCATGAAAAAAAAATGATGCAGTTTGATGTTACAGGATGTACTTAATATGCAAAGACAGTATTTCTTAAGGCATATGTTAAGGCAGCAGATCTGGTTTTAGTTGATGGGGAATACCTCGTTCTGTTCCCTGTTTTTTAGCTCCTACCACGTCCTTCCTTAATTGCGTCTCACCCATGGGTATCAAATATGGTTTTGCAGATACAGATGCTGGTTGCTGTCAAAAGGAAAGAAGCGATTCATTTGGGGTATGATCCTGCATCACTGAATCATCGCCATTGACAGGGGATAAAATATTTGGCATACGAATTGTAGTTCTAGGAGGGAACTGGCACTTGGGTGCAACTGACTCCACTGGGGTATAATTAACTTGACTGAAAAAGTCAGGCAAGTGGAAACACAGACCATTTCCCTGTTTGTGTAGTATCGCAATCAAAAGCACTGATTCTCCCTCGTGGATGCTGGGAGTTAGGAAGAACTCCATTGAAGGATGAGTAGTTTCACTGATGTGAAACAGCGAGAGAGAAGACAGTCCTCCAGAGAAGATGGTCTAATTCCTCAGTCTTACATGTGTTCTGTCATGCTCTTTTCTCTCCACTGCCATGACTTTTCAGAGGCAAACAGAGTCCATGTAGAGTCCGTTCCTGTTCTCAGTGAAGTCAATGGCAAAATCCCACTAACTTCAGTGAGCACAGGACTGCGTCCAAAATTGTAAATATGAAAGTGTTTGTATAGCTGAGGCAATTCAAAAGGGGATCTTTTTTGTGTGTAAAAATGACATTTCATGTTACCATTTTATTTTTAGGATATTTTTTATCTTGTATTTTTCTATTAAAGTATCTATTTTTGCTTTGGTAGGATTAAAACTTAAGGGAGAGGATGTTTCGAAGACATATTTTTGTGATAGGAGTAACATGCAGGGAAAGTCAACAGCTGTGAAGACATTTTAGAACCAGTATTTAGGGGGAGAGAAATGACTTTATGGATGGTAACAGACTTTTAGCTCCACTTTCTTCTCCAAGCATGTGCAACATTCAGATAGTTATTTAAATGGTATAAATGCAGTTACTGAGTTATCTATGTGATGATGGCCCTGATCTTGAAAATAATGAACTGTTCACATATATAATAGTCCTTCATTAGTTAGTGAGACTAACTATTCATGTGTGTAGAATTAAGCATGCAAGGAACTACCTTCAGGAACCAGGGTGATAAAGCACTACTCTAGGGCTGATTTAAAACGTGCTGCCATCAGTATCCCTGGATCTTCTGCCATTGACTTTACCAGGAGCAAAACTGGTAAATTAGCTACTGAGAGTTTATTTTATATGAGACAAAGGAGAGCTCTGCACTTTCTGGTCAACAAATGGAAATGAACAGTATGTATTTCAAATGTGAGGAAGAAGATCCATAAAAACACTGCCTGTGGGAAAGCCCAGCTGTGGCTGTGGTTCAGGTGCATGAATCTTTTGGTTTATCCTAATCTAATTTCATAAGCAGAACTGTCTGGTCTCCGCAGTTATAGTCAGACTTAAAAATTAGTCTCAAAACTGGCACTGAAGCCTGTGTTCTACAGGTGCCTTAGCAAAGGGAACCCTGCAGCCAGTGGACAGTTTTCTGAAATATCTTGTGGGCACCAGAGAAGAATGTAGGCTAGAGCAGCATTCATGCTGCTGTGGAATTGAGGAGAAAAACAAGATCTTGACTAGTTTGGGGATTTTTTCAAGCAGCTGAGTTTGTCTAGCTCCTCGGCATGCTTAAGGTTTGTTTTCTTTTTTCATAATTTCCAAGCAAATTTTGATCTACTTCTTGTTTTGCAAACACGCCTTGGAATACTTTTACTTACTTTTATCCATTTAACTACTTTGCCACAGAAAAAGGAAGGAAAATTTTTAAATATGTAGAGAAAAGGGAGTATGATTTGAAGCATAAACTTTTTTCAAAATGATGTTTGTTATAACTTGCCTTACAGTGTGACCTAGTACTCAGTCACTAGTTATGGAACAGGACAGTAGCACAGATCTGCATTTCTCCTGTGCCGTAGAGAGTCAGGTCAGATCTAAGCCAGGAGACTGGATGGGACAATAAATTGTTAAGACAGCTTTTTTATTGTGTCTTCTTACTATAACTAAACATTTTCTTTAAAAAAAAAAAAAAAGTGTGCTGAAAGGTCTCTCAATTAAAAATGCAGTAATTCTAAACTATGTTTTTTTATGCAGATTTTTTAATCATGACCTCAAGAAGTAGTTTTATGGTGGGATGCTGATAAAGACCTGGCCACAACTTTACATCCCAGCACCTCCTAAGAAAGGTGAACCTTTCTTGTACATTAGAACGTTTTAGATCAATAGGTTTTAATCTTTCTAAATTGCTGCACACCTACCTGTGCATTTTTCCCATGGAAGTGTGGAGATCATTTAAGACATTTCACATAAGTAGATTCCTGTATAGCATAAATAAACTTGCTCTTCTTAGCTGCCTTTCACATACCTCTTGCTAATAGTTCCCAGGTCTTCTGTGGACCATAGATCAAAAGCTGCCTTGAGTTTAGATTATTCAGCAGAGATCCTTTACCAGCTAATGCACTTTTCCTTTCTGGTTCATCTGCATTCGCTCAATGCCACAATGTTTAGGCTTCAAACTCTGTAAGGGAATGTCTAATCAAAATAATAATAATTGATTTTCAAAACCTACATTTTTGGCTTCAACAAATTGCCTGTATTACAAACATACATCTGTATTACAGAGGAGCACAAGGAGGGCTTTCACTCAACTCAGTGCTTTAGAACACACTTAAAATATGCTCAACTTCACCTTCTAAGTGCTTTGCTCACTTGGGACCAAAGGGTATGATCTTCCCCATGGCTTAACCAAAGGGAATCTTGCCATGTGCTTGGATTGGAGAAAGGTTTGACCTGTAGACTGTATTTTATTGCTAAATCGTACAGTTGTGCCTGTTAAATTGAAATTGAACTGGTGGCGTCATACTTTTTCTTTGTAAAAGTTTGACAAATTCTACTAATCTAGCATTTTTAAAAATTACTAAATATCAGTCAGCTTAATAGCTGATTTCCCTCAGGATCCTCTTCTCGAGGATTCTGTGGACAAATTGGCTGACTTGCACCTTCTTTCTTGGAAATCCCTGGATTTCTACTACAAGTTCACAAAGATGAAGCAAAACTTTCAGTAGTACCTGTGATTTCGTACACTTAGACGCACACCTCCAGAGTCAGATGCCTAGAGGTTATGGAGGTTTTGTTTATGGAGGATTTGTGTGGCCTGAGTTGTCTGTGACTACCACTATCACCAGTTAATTACGAGTGCCGTCTGTGATGTGCTTCGCTGAAGACCAAACCCGTACCAGTTCAGAGAACATTCAGTCATTGCTAAAACTTGTTGTTGAGAGTGCTTCGCACCTTGCAAGATTGTGGTCAGAATTAAGTTTATTAAAGAGTTACATTAATTCACTTCTGAAAATAAATTTTATTGATCTATTTTCAACTTGCATTTAAGAAATGTTTTCTTGCATTATTGAGAGTACTTTGGGGTTTTTAAATGGAGTATTATTAAGGTGTAGTAAATGCTTTGAAAACATTTGTGCTGGACAAAGTAAGAGTGTGCTCCCTGACAGTGTGTTTTACTGGGTGGTTGATCTCTGATTAATATTTTGGCTTGGATATGCCATGACCCTCTCATTAAGCTGTTGAGAAAAACCCTCTTATTGATTCCATGGAAGTAAACTTGGGCCGTCAATGAAGTGTCTTCAGACTTTAAATGCAGCAGCATCTTGAAGCAGTTCGAAGTGAATTTCTCAGCTTTGCTGTAGAACAGGCTGCATCAGCCTTAACTGACCTTGGCTGCAGCGTGATTTTCACCTCATGAATGCCATAAAGCTCCTGGAAGGCCAAGAATAGACATCAAAGACAGGAAGCTAATAGTCCTGGTCGTAAATTTCTTTGGCAATTTAGTCCACCTTTTCCGGAGCTCAAGACAGTTCCACATCCTTCACTACCCTCCTCTGTGCTTTGGAGTAGCCATGTAGCTGTCCTGTTTCTTTAAATAAAGTGTTTGAGGTTATTTTTCCTCATTTTATACCAGGGTAGAGTGAACGCTTGAATTCTCCATTTTTGTCATGTTCTTTTCTCTAGCTTCAGAAGTACTTTGAAAAGTTTCTGCCACTGTTCATTGCTGCCACGCTGCTCAGCTGCCAACACACCTCATGTTGGCCCACCGCCACACCAGCCATTACTGGAGATCTAGACCCAGAATCATGGTCTGATGATGTTCGTTTTTTGCACTATGCGAAGTTGAAAAATCAGATTGACCAAAAGCGTTCTGACATGTAATCTGAATTTTGCAGCTGGTGTCCATTCTTTTTAAAAACGCCCAAGGCAGGCACCAGAAATTGTGGTTATAGAAGCAGTCCCATTAAAGCTAAAATGATTACTGGGTGCCACTGAGCTCCCAGTAAATGCACTAGTTCAAGCGTGATGAGAAGATATCAGGTGATGTCAGACAGTCTTTTTTTTCTTTTTTTTTTAACCCTAATTTCTGCTATAAAGTGACATCTTATCTAGCGACCACCCTCCCCAAAGCAGGGCATATGGGAACAGAAATATAAGTTTCTAATGGTGCCTTGCCATTGGTGTGCATTAGTATGCAATGATCACCAACATGCCCTAGCAACTTGTCCCGAAACGATAAGCAATGAAAGGACAAATTTCAGCTGGTTTAGCCCTTTTTAGGAACAAGGAAATAGAAAAGTTACTTTCTGGGATATAATTTTAAGGACATGCTGAAAGAAGTTCTGCTTCAGATGTGTTGTGTGTGTCTGCTCTCCTCCCCCCCTTTC